TTAAATAATTTTAGGTTTTTTTTTTTTAATTTGAATTGATATTTTTCTTTTAAATGAATTTTTAGTTATATAAATCAAGATAAAGATAGCTTAAAGAAAAACAAGAAAGAACGGCTCGAGTTTCCCGACTATATTATCCCCGGTACTCATCTCTTTCAACCACAATTCAACCACAATTTCTCTTCCAATCACAACCTTTAAGACTGATGTTAGAGCGCACGCGAGAATAATGCCATAAAATAGGTCGAGAAAGAGCGATAACCCACTGCAACCTTTTCATATGCGATCACTCGAAAGATGTCAAAGTGAAAGCGAAGCGAGTTGGGAGTTCAAACGATGAAGCGAGCAGTTAGCAACCTCGCTCTGAGCTTTTGATTGTTTTGTTGCATTCTGTGATTTAATTATCGTAAAAGCTCTGAGGGTAATTTTGTTAATATATAGTTTAATTTATTCAACATAATCATTGGAAATGCCAATGGTTCATCGAAGTTACACCTACAGAGAGGATGAGGCTCGTGAGAAGGCATCGCTTTGCTTTGCGTGCTTGCGAAGCGGGCATACGATTGGATCCTGCGCCGTGTCGAAAGAATGCCCTGTGAGTGGATGCAGGAGGAAGCATCACCGACTTCTTTATGAAGCAAACAATGAAGGCTTCAGGAGACCACGATAGCGAGGAGGAAATTAGAGAAGCACGAATCAGCACCAACGGGCAGTTGGAACCAGAGAAGGCGCTCGAGTAAACGAAGGGGCATCGTCATCTCTGGATGCTCAGGCGATGCCGCAAAGGAATTTCAGCTGTGTCGAAGAGGATGGACAACGACTATTTTTTCGTGTATTGCCGGTGATGGTCGACAAGGAGCTGATTGAGGAGCTAGGCGTACTGGGAGAACGTCGTCAAATGAACATCCAATGGTTTGGAGTTAGAGCCACTAGAGAGCCTACTAGGTGCGTCCACCCTACATCCATTGAGAAACGTTTATGCCGTTCGAACTTGAGTTTGCCGATGCAGAGTCTGCACCGAAAAGTTGTGAAGAGCGTCAACAAGGAAGAAACTCCAAAATGAGGCAAATAAAAAGTCTTATCGCTATCCATCAACGGTAGTCCTTGTTGACGCTCTTCACAACTTTTCGGTTGTGAACAAGATTCCCAACAAGATTCCCAAGATTCGATTGGTATTCGATGCGGCGGCAGGAGTCGGAAAAGTCTCATTGAATTCGGCGCTGAGCAAACGGCCACAGCACTATAAGCCCTTGCCATCTATTATCTTCCATTTCAGGGAAGGTGCGGTCGGAGTCTGCAGTGACATCAAGCAGATGTTTCACCGGGTGCTGATCCGACCAGAAGATAGGTGCGCGCAACGGTTCCTTTGCGAGATGTGCGTGATGACGTTTGGAGTTGCATGTTCACCGAGTGCGGCGCATCACGTGAAGACCGTGAATGCCAGGCGATTTTATCACTACGCCATTTCATCATGCCCTTGTGGAGTATCACTACGTTGAGTATCACTATTACTACGTCCCATTGGAGATGTCGTGTTATGGACAAACTCGAAGACAGTGCTGCATTGGATTGGCATTGGACGCAGAGGCGCTACAAACAGTTCGTAGGGAACAGAGTAGCGGAGATTCTGAAGAAGAGGATGAAGAGGAGATGCCGAGTGAGTTTGTTCTCGTTTGAGTTTGGTGAGGACAACGGCCTAAGGTTTACGCACCGATGCCTTGGGCACCTAGATGAGCTTAAGAAGGAACGCCTCACTGTGGCTGAGTGTGAGGCAGCAGAGAATTTGTTCGTCCGCAGAGCGCAATGTGAGGCGCTCCCGGATGAGTTGCCCGGAAAAGGAAACGAAATATTTGGACTGTCGCCATATCTAGATGGGAATGGAATCCTGCGAGCGTATGGCAGGATTGATGCGGCGTTGTGCATACCGTACAGCGCAAAGAGGCCAGTGATCCTTTCGCACCGGCCCAGTCTCACCGAGATGATGATGCGAGATGCACATGTTAGGATGAAGCATCAATATGTAGATGCTACGATCACGGAGATCCGGACCAGGTTCTGGATAACGAGACTCAGGAGACTCATCACCTGATTTGCCAGGTGATGTCTGGATGCAGCGAGTGTAAGCTGCAGAGCGCGGCCGATGCCGCCGATGCAGTCCGTTCTCAGCGGCCCGCAACTCATCCGGGAGCGCCTACCAGAGGATCGTTTGGAGGCCAAGGCCGTTCAAAAACCCCGGTCTGGAATTCTTTGCACCACTGCTTGTCACCGTAACCAGGCACCAGGAAAAGTGATGGGTGGCCTTACTTACGTGTCTGACGACCAGGACGATTCATCTGGAACTGGCGCATTACCTATCCACGGATTCCTGCATAATTGTTATCAGGAATTTCATCTGCCGTCGAGGGCCAGTATATAGACTGCGCAGCGACCACGGCAAGAACTTTGCTGGAGCGGACAGGGAGGCGAAGAGATTCGCGGAGGTGTTCGATCCCGAGAGTATCCACACGGAGCTATCAGGGAAAGGCATCGAATGGATCTTTAGTTGCCCATCGAATGAAGAGAGTGCTGCGTCACACCGTGAAGGAAGCGGTGCTGGAAAAGCCCGCCCTGAATAGTTCCCTGATACAGGCGGAAAATATTGAGAATTCTCTTCTCCCCTTGAGAAAGCTCCCGGCTCCCGGCCTGGAAGGAAGCTGTGGAAAGAAAGGAACCACAAGGAAACAGTGGCGCATCGCGAGAATGCTGAGGGACCGATTCTAGAAGAGATGGGTCTTGGAGTACCGGCCCACGCTGGCACGGAGAGAGAAGTGGTGCCGCAGAGAGAAGCCAATTCGTCGAAGAGACATCGTCTTTGTGTGTGACCCAGCTGTGCCGCGAAGAGACTGGCGGAAAGGCGTTTTGTTTCGAATTATTTATGAATATTGTAAACCCCCATAGAATAAAATATAAGTTGTACTATTGCAACCTGGCAGTGTTGTCAATGGCGCGTCTATTGTTTAAAACTCCCACACGTGTGACGACAGGCAGCTATAAGATATTGTCGGCCGAGTTATATGAAACTTGGTTGGTGGAATCCCCTGACCAAAAATAGATTCTGTACAAATTTCTATCTTTAAAAATACGAAAGTTGGGTCATTTCCGATTGTTCAGTTATATGACAGCTATATTGAGCTATATGAAAAAAGGCTGCAAAGTTTCAAGTTGAGCTTTAAAACTGGGAGACTAGTTTGCGTAAAAACAGACGGACGGACAGATGTACAGACGGACGGATGGAAAGAAGGAAATGCTTAGCATAAAGCTTTAGTTTGCTTACATACGGTAAGCAGAAGTTGATATACCCTTGCAGTTATGATCAGATATATATCGCAAATATCGGATTCAATTCGGCTGCTTTGATTCAAAGGGGTAGATTAGCTATTAGAACAGATTGGCATCAAAACATTTTCCAAAAACATTCAAGAACTGGCGCTAACACTAAATTTCTCTTTTGGGGGGCGGGAGTAGGATTGGCAAAATTTTGACCCAAACATAAACAGACTGACAGACGAATATGGCTATATTGACTCGGCGGCTGTTGATGCTGATCAAGAATGTATATTAAGGGGTTATATACAGTTGTACCGCGCAAAAATATGGATTTTTATCGATTTTTTTTTGACACCATAGAAAATATTTATGAAAAATGTTTTACCGACGTTGTTTAGTGCATGTTTCTGGGTACTTAATTAAATTTTTTCATAAAAAAATATTACATAACAAAACTGTTACAGCCGAATCCCCGGATCGTCTTTTTTCGATGGTGTCTTGCGGTGGACAAGATTTCTCGAAAACGGTTCATCCGAAATCCAAAATTCAAAAAAGTTTAGTTAGTACATTGTATTGTCTAGTCCGTGAACGAGGGATTTTAAAAAATTTTGATTAAAAAAAAAATGGCGACGTTTTTAACAAAAAATGTACTTTTTCAACGTATAAGATTTTCGTTTTTTGTGCTTTAAAAAAGGAGTTTTCAAAAAAATTGAAAATCCCTCGTTCACGGACTAGCTAATATCATAATAAATAAGTGGTCAAAATTTGGTGTTGATCGGATTAGTAGTTTTTTAGTAATCGTGTCCACCGCAAAGGTAATTTCCCAAAAAAAAGATTCTGAGATAATCGCGTTTAAAGTTTCAAGGTTGTTCAAGTTTTATATGCAGATAGTGCGCTTTAAATAGCTACAGCTTCAGTTCTAATGCTCCGATCGTTATGAATTTTTGTGAGAGCATTCCCAATAAAATATACTTAAAGAATATGCAATAAAAAAATGATAAAAAATTAAATTAAATTCCGCCTTTTATCATGCCACGCCTACTTTTATTTAGTTGCCTAAAATGCCTTTGAATATATATTTCATTTTTCAGATCGATACCGTACTTCGTTTAAAAGTTACAGACACATTGCTCCTACTTTCTTATATGAGTCTAAGTACATGGCTAGTTTGACTCTTTTTTCGAAATTAAAAATAAATTATAAGTTAAATAAATTTATAAAAAATATTATAAAATTTTTTGTAAAAAGATGAATCAGAATTGACTCCAACATAATTGGAAAACGCGTATGTTTTTTTTAAAATACATTAAAATGTCTGAAAATACCTCGAAATACCTTATGTACCTCATAGTGAAATCTTTAAACTTTACGGCGCGAGCTAGGAATTCATTTTAGACACATGGTTTCATGGTGAAATTTTCTTAGAATTCTTCGTAGATTCCGATTATGGGGGACGATTTTTGCGAAAAAAAATTGACCCGCCTTAATGTATATACTTTATGGGGTCGGAGATGGTTCTTTCTCTATGTTTCATACATTAACACGACTACAATATACCCTTTTATTCTACGAGTACCGGGTATAAAAATACGGCATTTTCAATGGTGACTTGTGGTCCATTTCACTTTACCAAAAATTAGGCGTATAATAAGCTTAATTCCCTTGAATTTGAACTTTAATTAATTTATTTCCAGGGTTGGTTTAGCCCAGGGCAAGTTTTTGTGTTGGACGAATATTGCGCCCGATATGGTGTACGAGGATGTTACAGGCACTTATGTTACCTCTCGGATTTATTGGATCGTGCTGAAAAACAACACATGATAGACCCAACATTAATTCATTATTCTTTTGCTTTTTGTGCAAGTCATGTACACGGAAATCGGTAATACTTGCTTAAATGTTTATATATATAATTGCTGTAGAATTTTTCTTATTTCAGACCTGATGGAGTCGGAAGTATTACCCATGAAGAAAAAGAAAAATTTTCGGAAATTAAGCAACGCTTGCGTCAGTTGCTAGAGTTTCAAATAACAAATTTTAGGTACTGTTTTCCTTTTGGTCGCCCTGAAGGAGCACTTAAAGCAACATTATCTTTGCTTGAAAGAGTTTTGATGAAAGACATTGTTACTCCGGTGCCTCCAGAAGAAGTTCGTCAAATGATAAAAAAAAGTTTGGAAACAGCTGCTTTTGTAAACTATACGCGTCTTTCCAATAAGGCAAAAATTGAGGGTAAGAAAATGTTTATAATTACGATTCAATGTCAAAGTATTTCAATATATCAATATCAATTTTTTTTTCAAATTTATCTTTAGGATAAACCCCAGTATTTTTAAGTACAGGTCTAAGTATTCGGCTTATAAACGGCCTGGTTATGCGGCCCCATAGTCTGAGAAAATTATTTAGTTACAGTTGATATAAAGTATATATATTCTTAATCAGTATCACCTACTGAGTTGATATGAGCATGTCGGTCTGTCTGTCCATCTGTGTCTACGCAAAGTAGTCTCTCAGTTTTAAAGTTATCGTCTCAGTTTAAAGTTATGAAACTTTGCACACACCTTTATTTTCTTTTCACGCAGTATATAAGTCGGAACGACCGGGATCGGCCGACTATATCCTATAGATGCCATTTAACAGATTGATCGGAAATGCTAAAACTTTGGTGTTTTTAGAGTTAGAGAGTTCAAATATTACATGAGAGCTATTTTTGGCAAATAATGCAAAATGCCAAATTTTATAAGGATCGGCCGACTATATCCTATAGCTGCCATATAACTGAACGATAGGAAATGACCCATCTTTCGTGTTTTTGAAAATAGGAAGCTGGAACTAAGTACAGATTATATTTTTGGTCAGTTAACTCGACCAACCAAATTTCATTACAATCGGTCGACTATATCTTATAGCTGCCATATAACTGAACGATCGGAAGTGGTATTTGGTAGAAATACCAACTTTGGTATTTTTGAAGATAAAAGCTTGGGACTTCTTTTTAGATATTTTATTGAAGTTAATTGGTTTTATTATGATATTATCATAAGGATCGGCCAACTATATCCGATGTTTGCCATATATATCCGGTTTTAACTGCATGGGTATATCAACTTCAGCTCCTTTCCTTTCTTGTTCTTGTTGCATAGCTTTCCTTTCTTGTTTAAGGTATTTGAGCGCTTCCTTGATAACCATCAAACGTGGAAAACTCTACACTGATTAGGGATGCTAAATCTGGTTCTGATTCAAAGAAATTGATTCAAAGAAGTTAATCAAAGTTTCAGTTATCAGTGCACAAGGTTGGTGACTTCTTTTGGCTGGGGCTTTGAAGCAACATTCCTTTCTTTTTCAGTACCAAACCCGCAAAGGTGCTAGAACGTGTTTGTGTGTATTGACTTCGTGTGGCCAAGAGGACGTCGTCATAAGAAGTCAGTTCCTCATATGGGGAGTTCTTACTTCGTAAGCTGGGTCGGATTTGTTAAGAAGTACAAGGTGGTGACTGTGATGAATTGAAAGTTTAGATCCCGTGAGTGGCCTTTATGGCAGCTAAGGATTTCTAGTTCATGATAAGGACCGCTTGGTTCGCTTAATGAAATAAGTTTGGCACTCTAGTAGACCTCGATAAGCTCACTTCATGCATAGCTCTACGTCATAGTTATCACATTCAATAACCTTGACACTTCCTTTGAACCATTCCATTTTTCGCAGACATAAAGAGGATTCTTTGGCAGAAACATTTGTTTGCTAGTGCCGCCTCCTTTTGCTTATCCTCCCTTTGGGTTCATTTATTGGGATTGCCCTTTTGGAAATCTCCAGGGGTTGTGTCAGACCCGCATAGATGGGCTTATTCGCGCTCTTAACTTTCTTCAGCCTCTGACCACACTCACTCGTAGATGCTAGCTTTATCTCAAGCTCCCATGCAAGCTAACTCTCAACTCTGAGGATATTATTTTATATAAAAAAACATTCCTTATCTATTGATAAAAGAGTTTACTAAAAAAGGTCATAGAATTTTTAATTTTAATGTATGACGTTTAAACTTAGAATCAAAAATACAAAACATTACCATAAAAAATTGTACCTTATGCCAAAAACCATAGTGCAGTGATTCGGGCTATATTGTTTTTATACCCTTGCAGAGGGTATTATAATTTAATTTTGGTCAAAAGTGTGCAACGCAGTGAAGGGGACATCTTTTTAAACATAAACATAAAGTTTAAAGGACATAAAGTTTATATATTCTTGATCAGGATCACCTTCTGAGTTTATACATATGAGCATGTCCGTCTGTCTGTCTGTTTCTACGCGAATTAGTCTTTGAAACTTTGAAATTGAAACTTGGCACACACCCTATTTTTATTTGCATTTAGTATATATGTCGGAGTGGCCAAAAATAATACGACGCACCGAACTTGATAAAGATCGGCCGACTACATGTGTATGTTTTTCTTTTTTTTTTTTTTACGATTGCTATATCTAGTCGATTTAGGGAGTGATGGAGGGTTGTTTGCTATGTTTGTTTGCTTTAATATGTTTTCTTTGTTAATTACTGTAATTACTGTAAGATATTTGTAAGATAGTTTTTGATTATTTTAAAAGAAATGTTAGTCCGTTTCTTTAATCGTTTAATATCTCTCATCTTAAGATGAGAGTAAGAAAAATTTAGTACAATCTTTTATTTCTGAGACCTTAAAAAAATTAAACTTAAATAATTAAAAATATTTTTTTTTCTACAGAGGATTTACGAGGAGAGATTAATGTGCCGCCACCAAAAAAACTTGAGGACTTAATACATTTAGCAGAACTTTGTGTTGATTTACTTCAACAAAATGAAGAGCATTACGGGGAAGTAAGTAGTGCCACTGTCAAACGGTTGCCCGAGGATTTATTAATTTTTTATTATATATATATATTTATGTATATATATGTTTATGTATATGTATATGTATATGTATATGTATATGTATATGTATATGTATATGTATATGTATATGTATATGTATATGTATATGTATATGTATATGTATATGTATATGTATATGTATATGTATATGTATATGTATATGTATATGTATATGTATATGTATATGTATATGTATATGTATATGTATTACAAGTATTAATACATAATTACATACATATTATACTAAGTATTAATAATACGATTATTAAGACTTTTTATTCCAATTTTGATGTTTAAGTCCCGCATAATACTCTACAATTCTTATTGAAAGTATAAAAATTCTTTTATTTATTTAATAAATGTCAACCTTTTATGATTATGCCTAATTATTAAAGTAATTCCATATTAGCTTCCATATTTTTTTATATTATTTATTATTACCTGTTTAATTACTACTTGCATCTATAATAAATGTTGTAAAACTCGGTACTCTGAATGAATATTAGATAAATGCATATGAATACTTTAATAAGTATTGTAAATTTTTATTGTACGTCAGTCCGTAAGCAAAATCAAGAAACATTGAGTTTTGCGTAGACATTTCTTAATTTTATGATTGCTAGAACCATTTTATCATGTCTACGATTACAAAAAAATTCTATACTTAGTCATGTTGACGAAATTTGAAAATTTGGTTGTTTAAAGAATATTAATTTTTTTTAAATAATAATTTTTTTTCACACAAAAAAAAAGTTTATTAAAAAACAAGAAAGAAAAGCGAACTTCGAGCGGAGCCGAAGTTAATATACCCTTGCAGATAAAACCGGATGTATATCGCAAACAACGGATATAGATGGCCGATCCTTATGAGAATATTATAATAAAACCAATTAATTACAATAAAATATCTAAAAAAAAGTCCCAAGCTTCTATCTTCAAAAATACCAAAGTTGGTATATCTACCAAATACCATTTCCGATCGTTCAGTTATATGGCAGCTATAAGATATAGTCGATCGACTGTAATGAAATTTGGTTGGTCGAGTTAACTGACCAAAAATATAATCTGTACTTAGTTCCAGCTTCCTATTTTCAAAAACACGAAAGATGGGTCATTTCCGATCGTTCAGTTATATGGCAGCTATAGGATATAGTCGGCCGATCCTTATGAAATTTGGCATTTTGCATTATTTGCCAAAAATAGCTCTCATGTAATATTTGAACTCTCTAACTCTAAAAACACCAAAGTTTTAGCATTTCCGATCAATCTGTTACATGGCATCTATAGGATATAGTCGGCCGATCCCGGCCGTTCCGACTTACATACTGCGTGCAAAGGAAATAAGGGTGTGTGCAATATTTTAAGTCGATAGCTTTAAAACTGAGAGATTAATTCGCGTAGAAACAGACAGACGGATAGACGTACAGACGGACGGATGGAAAGATGGAAATGCTCGAGAACATGTGTACTTTATAGGGTCGGAGATGTCTTCTTCACTGAGTTGCCTTACTTTTGGATTAAATTATAATACCCTCTGCAATGGTATAAAAATATATATATACATATGTATATATCTTTTGTATATTACATCTCAAAAAGTTAAAAAAAATAGTTATCTTGCTAGAATAAAAATTACTTGGTGGCTCTGATTTTTTATGGGTGCAACTGGAGTGTTTTTTCTGATATTTGGATATGTTAACTTTACATGCCAACAGAAAGAGATTAGATGAATGTTCAATAAAAACCGTTTTTTTTATTTTCCGTGCCAAATTAAGCTCCAAAAAAAGAAAGAACGGCTAGAGCCAAGTTTTGTAGAATAAAAACCCCTTTTCTACACTAGTTTTACTTTAGTTTTTGAAAAGATTTTTTTTTCTTTTTTTAATTTTAAAACCTTTCTCTAAAATTTATAAGGGATCGGATATATAAGATTACAGAATCAGATTGTTTTATTAAAAAGATGTTTTCTTTCAAAAATTCATACCAGCATATAGCAGCAGAATCAGGAACATAAGGAATATAGCTATACACATATATAGACAGGCAAAAAAAATGAATTTTTGTAAAACGGACCAGTTGGTTGAAGATGAAATCTGTAAAAATTCCTAACCTTCTATATTAAAAAAAAAAAAAACCAAGTTTCGACATGATATGATTTAGTCAACCAATCATGGTCATACCTCCTTATATTATGCGGTCGATGGATAAAAGGGGTGCCTAAACACCCCTTGCTATAGGCAGCTCAGCAAAAGTAAAGAACCCGCGTAGATCGATTAGAAAGTGTTTTAATCGAGTAAAGAAAGTGTTTTTTTCAGAAAAAATATATACTATATATATAAATATATATAAAAATATATACCTATAGGATTTAAAAAAATCTCCGCAATACGAAAAATTGGGAAATCGAGTCCGAGGATACATATGTATAGTCGGGAGCCTCGGCTATTTTCATTCTTTCAAAAAATTTTTGACAAGCAGTCCCATATAAAAATGGGAATAAGAAGGAAACTTCGGACACATCCGAAGTTATTATATCCTTGCAGTTTTTTTTTTTATATTTCAGTAAGCTTACAGAAACTTTTTTGTTTAAGGGGTTATATACAGTTGTGATATATGAAAAAATCAATTTTTTTTATTGCATATTCTTTAAGTATATTTTATTGGGAATACTCTCACAAAAATTCATAACGATCGGAGCATTAGAACCGAAGCTGTAGCTATTTATAGCGCACTATCTGCATATTAATCCTGAACAAACTTGAAACTTTAAACGCGATTATCTCAGAATCTTTTTTTTGGGAAATTACCTTTGCGGTGGACACGATTACTAAAAAACTACTAATCCGATCAACACCAAATTTTGACCACTTATTTATTATGATATTAGCTAGTCCGTGAACGAGGGATTTTCAATTTTTTTTTCAAAACTTCTTTTTTAAAGCACAAAAAACGAAAATCTTATACGTTGAAAAAGTACATTTTTTTTAAAAACGTCTCCATTTATTTTTTAATCAAAATTTTTAAAAATCCCTCGTTCACGGACTAGACAATACAATATACTAACTAAACTTTTTTGAATTTTGGATTTCGGATGAACCGTTTTCGAGAAATCATGTCCACCGCAAGACACCATCGAAAAAAGACGATCCGGGAATTCGGCTATAACATTTTTGTTATGTAATATTTTTTTATGAAAAAATTTAATTAAGTACCCAGAAACATGCACTAAACAATGTCGGTAAAACATTTTTCATAAATATTTTCTATGGTGTCAAAAAAAAATCGATAAAAATCCATATTTTTGCGCGGTACAACTGTATATAACCCCTTAAGTAAGTTAACCCCAACGCTACACTCAAGTCAAGCCTTCAAATCCCAGCAGCGACCAAATTAATTTTTTTAGTTTATTTTTTTTTGATTTTTTGGGAAACCAATTTTATTTGGTTTTTTGGGAAACAAACTTTTTGTTGGTTTTTTGGGAAACCAACGGCCAACTTCCGAAATAGACCCTCGCCTGTCTTGGATTTCGGAAAAAAGGTGAATATATCAGCAAACAATTTTTTCTTAGGAAAATAATATTATAATATACACATAATATTTTTAATACTATTTTATTAGGTGTGTATTTTTATGATAGTTTTTAATATAATTTTTATGAATAAAATATAATATAATAATATAAAAATACAGAGTCCCTTAAAAAAAAAGTTTATTACATTTTTTTTTAATCTTTTGGGAAAACGAACGACTTCTGAAAAAAAAGGAAGAGTTTTCTACGGTAGGTCTTACTGGTCGCACTTACACATTTGTTGTACTTTTTCATACCGATATATTGAATAGTGATGAACTTTATTCAATAGTGAACACTTTCAACATCTTCCTTCCTCATACAGTCGTTTTACAGGTGTTATCAGTGTCGGTGTGCAGGCACTCCACCTGTGCAGAAATTTTAAACCTCGTATGATACGGTTTTGGGCGCACTGGTGCCATTATAAATACGAGGTACCCTTTACCGACCCTTTACCCTTTACCGAGTAAGTTAACAATTTTACAGCATGACCTTTAACATTTGGGTAGATTAAATAGTACAGACCGTTTCATGTAAATGTTGGACTCTGTTTACTTCGAAAACTAATCTTGTTTGGGAAAAACGTACTTTATTTGTTTGCTTCAATAATATCTACTGTATTTAATAGTAAAATAGTTCGTAAACCCATTACTTTGTGAGATATGGGTCAATTAAAAATTTAATTGTTTTGACTGTTTATTTGAGAAACGGGTAATTGCGGGTAATTATACTATTTTTTCCGGAATCAACCACCAGGAATGCGCCATTCTGAAAATTGTAGCAAGATATGTAGCTTGTATGTAGCGCTGTGTGAACGCTTCTCTGAGCGCTGTGGAAACTAAAGTTTTTGTGGCCGAGTGTTCTTAGGTGCTGAGATGGATTTTACTTAGATACTACTTCGATTTTATCTGCTCGTCGTCCTGATAAAGAATATACTTACTTAATCTTAACCGATTCCTTTTATGCATTACAAATATCTGGAAAAATTTATATTTTCTGTAAGGGTATAAAAACATGGATTAATTTTAATTTTTCATAAAACAATAAACTTCCACAAAACTCACTTTAGGCGAAGCTGAAGCTTAAATACCCTTACAGTAAAATACATAACTCAAATACAAACAAGAAAGAAACGCTTACTTCGGTCGGAGCCGATGTTGATATACCCTTGCAGTTAAAAGCGGATATATGGTATATCGCGAAAATCGGATATAGTTGGCCAATCCTTATGAGAATATCCAGGGCCGTAGCTAGAGCCTCGGGGGCCCTGGGGCAACAAGTAAATTTGGGGCCCCCTATACGGAAGTATTTTGCCCCGGCGGGGCCCTTTCCCTTCGGGGGCCCTGGGGCACCGCCCCACCTGCCCCATGCTAGCTACGGCCCTGAGAATATCATAATATAACCGGATTATTCCAATACAAAAAAAAATTTCCATCTTCATAAAACCAAAGTTTGTATTTTTACCAAATACCATTTCCGATCGTTCAGTTATATGACAGCTATAAGATATAGTCGGCCGTCCGTTTGAAATTTGGTAGGTCGGATCAACTGACCAAAGATAGAATCTGTACTAAGTTACAACTTTCTATCTACTATAATTCCTCTAAAAATTGTCCGATTTGCTTGACCTTTGATTTTTAGTTCCATGCCACACTTTATAATCTCTGAGATCCACGCATTCATACGGACAGACGGCTGTTGATGCTAATCAATAATACATATATGTATGTATATACTTTATGGGGTTGGAGGTAATTCCTTCTCGTACGTACATACATTCACACGAATAAAATATACACTACGAATTTCGGGTATAATAAAAATAAACAACAAAAAATCATAGATAATTATATATATTTTTCCATTCCCGATTTTCCAATAATATGACAGCTAATTATATATATTTTTCCATTCCCGATTTTTCAATAATATGACAGCTAGATAATATGACAGCTACAGTCGAATTAACTTATCCCAGCAGTTCCGAATTATAAGTGCAACTTCGTGTAAATTTTCAAAGTGCACATTTTTGCACTTGTCGACTTAGGAATATAGAAACTAGTATAAAAAGACAGATGAACAGACAGACAGACATGCTGGATCCATGCTGGATGCAGATAAATAAAGTATATATTTTAAAGGATGGAACATATCTCCTTTCATGAGTAGCACAGTTTTGTCAAAAATGATAATATACTCTGCAAGGATATAAATTTACATAATAAATACACATTTTGTGAAAAATTAAGTTTATTATTATTACTGATTTTTACATGTTCCTAATTTCCATTTTAACGTTTTCTTAACACCCAATACTTAATTTATTTAGCTCCACAGACATGATAAAATGGAAAAAAATAATATACGTAAGGAAAACGATGATGATTCAGAACAACGGGATATCAGCGATGTTGATTTCACCGGAAATACTGGTCTAATTAATACAACTGAACAGGCAACTGATGAATTTGTTAAGGCATCGGCTTTTCGTTACTGTATGCCAACGCACGCGGTATTTACTTCGCCTGTACCAACGGCACGTATCATTGACCAAAAATTTGTGTTAAAAAGATTTAATAAGGGTTGAGTGTGCCTTACGTTTTTTTAATATTTTCTCTCTCAATAATTTCAAAAAATAAAATTCTGTCTGTCTAAAAAGAGATATAAATTTTAACACAAAACATTTTGAAATCGTAAAAAAACAATATTTGTATCTCAAAGGTGTATCATCTTATGAAATATGAATACTATATCAACTTTTCCGCATGATAAAAAAAAATCTGGATTTTAATATTAAATCAAAAATATTTTTTTTTTTAATATAAGTAACACTCTTGTTTTATCAATAATCTGGTATGCCGATCGAGAAATCCCGAAAATATTTTTAATTATCTTAATTCATCAAAAATGAACTCATCGCCTAACTCAAGACTAATTAATTTTCTTATTTTGTTAATTGTCTTACTTTCAAAGAACTATTTAAAACCGACATGACAACCTCTGTAACTGAAAGCTATAATTAATATAAGTTTTATTACTACAAGCATGCGTTTAAATATTCGTAAATTCGTCTATTCGTATAAAAACGCAAATCTTACATAAAATTTAACCTTTTGGCAAATTCTTTGTTTGTTTGTAGTTTTTGGCCGTTGGTTTTTTGTTATCATTTTTTATTTATCATGTTTTTTGCTATCTGAATTTATTTAAGCTTTTTAATAAAAACATTGAAGATTTTTCTATGGTGAATGCTTTGCACTTAAATTTATTTTAATGGTAGTAGTTTAATTTCCCATCGCACGGCTTTGAACATAGCTTGCAAAAAACTTTTGATCAGCTTAAAGTCTCATTTTTGGACAAAGTATCCGAAAAATGTCGATCATGTTGGAACATTTTAAGGATCAGGTCTGAAAAAAATACTTTAATGTGTATTCTGCTTATATAAATTATATGAGCATATATATATTCTCCGAAAATATAATTTTTTTTATTAATTTTTTTAGAAAGTAATAAGACAACGAAACATATACAACAAAGTCATTGAAAGACAGTTTCTACAAGCATGTTTTTACAAGGGTCCTGCTAAAGTGTTACAGAGAGACCCGTTTTTTTGTTTAGTTAAAAAAATAGGTCCGAACGAAGCAATTAGAAATCTATCTGTCCCTCCGTCCGTCTGAACCAGAGAACTACAACGAGTATGAACGAGTATGATACAATCACGAGTATGATACAATAAATCAAATTACAAAAATGGTTAAATGGTTACCAACTTTTGATTGCGGGTATACGACGATCCACACTGAAACTGACTGCCGGCACACTGACAGTGTGAGCACTCTCAAAATTTTTTTCGAAGCTCTCTCTCATTTGCTTTCATTTTGCCTCACTTAACAGCCCAAACTTAAAAAAAACTTTTTTCACTGAGAAAAATTGTATAGAAATTTGGTTGGAACAAGTTTTTCCATAGAAAATATAAATAGGAAAGCGTAGATTTTCATTTGCTTAAGATCTGTTGCTGGAAAAGCTTTCTTTAATTTAAATTTCACTATTCTAGTGCCCATTTAAATAGTTAAATTAACGAAAAATGAAGTAAAAAACTCCGTTTTTTTGGTTAAATGAACGCTCTGCTTTCATTGTTTCATGCTAATTACACACCCACTCAAATTTTAAACATGTGTGCGTTTTGACCACCGCGTATTCGAGTGCCGTGGTTGTAATCCCTTCAGTATGGAACACGCCACGTATTACAAGCTCGGAGATATCCGAGACACGCCTGTCGTCTCAATAGTCCTGTTTTCCAAGATCTGCTTTATCAGGTGCACGGAGTGATCAACTACCCCTAGTTATTAAACATGGGAGAATGTTGTTGAACGCAACTTCTAGTGATCTAGTGGAAACCCGTCTCCGTGGATCGGCCCTTCCTATACGCATACTGTGATCCCGAAATGTCATTTGATTGATGGTAAGATGAATTTGAAGGCTAATGAGCTTTTCCATTGTCTCGAGGAGAAAAGACGACAGGCTTTACTATTTTTTACGAAGTATTCGAGCTGGGTCGGAAGGGAGCAGCTGCACCCTTGCTCTGTGTTTCCTGGATTGTTTTCTCCTGAGAACACGCTGGTAAAATTTTCATTTTTGAGAGCTTCTAGGTTTTCCATGCTGTACGTGTTTCAACAACCATCCAAGGTTTTAATATACCCTACATTAGATGATTCCGAGGACCTTTCTGAGCCGGGAGGCCTCCGATGTCCTCTGAATGCTCGTGCAGACCTTGACGCTACCATGATACCAGATCCTCTGCTCTTCAGCATCTTCTCCATGAAGCGTCCATGCAGCTCATTTACCACCTTTCGCCAAAGGTCCTTAGGGATCCCCTGATCAGAACTCCAATGAGCGTTCTTCCCTTTGTGACCTCGGCGAAGAAACAGCTCGGCTGCACCTTCTTCTTTTTTTTTGGGTCGCTCCTCCTTCTGAGGACCTCTGCCTTTTCGCACTCTGCGCGATCTCTTTGGTAAGTTCTACTTCAGCCTCACTCCCACCTTTGCCGCTTGGTAATCGGGCAGGATCGCTCTTGCCAACCTTATGACCTCGGCCTGGTCTGGGTTGGCGTCTGCCGATGGGTCTGCCCTAATGAGAATGAGGGCTGTCCATCTGCTGTCTTTGTAGGAGCCTTTTGCGCTGCGTCCAGTGAGACGTTGCCGGACCAGGGTTTGCCTTAGGTGCCCCGCCGGTTCGTATAGAGGTTGACCCTGGGTTCTTTCTCTCCAATCCGTTCGTTAATCCCAGCCACGCTTGGTTCGTTGGCTAGCTCCGCTTTAGACGCGTCCGGGGGCGTCCCGTGTCCAGATGTTGCCCCTTTTTAGGGAGCTTCTGCATCCCTTGGTTTTTGAGGGTCTTTAGGTTTGGGCTGTTGATGCTGATCAAGAATACATATACTTTATGGGGTCGGAGAAGATTCCTTCTCGATTTTAAATAAATGAACACGAATATAATTTACCCTTGTATTCTACGAGTACCGGGTATAATAACCCAGGAGCTCATCCTGGTTGATTCCCGCCAGATAATAGGTGTCTGTCATCAGTAGACATTCAAATGAAAAATTTTACAAATGTTTTCAGTTAACTTAGGAAAGCTAACGTTAATGTCAGATCATAGGCCTTGCCATTAAAAATGGAAAAGAATATTCTGAGACACTTGCAGCGAAGCCATCAAACACTACCCTAACACTACACTACACTCCCCATAGGTTTGGCTGTAAAACTCTCTTTCCACATTATGCAATGATGAGGTAGAAAATACTTGCAGGATCGCGCTAGCTCAGAGGGATCAAAGGAAACGTACCCTACCTCAAGATATTCCCTTACAATTTTAGACTTACGAAATAGACCGGCGACCAAATGGAATGGACGTCCAAATCGGTAGAAATTATTTACAGAAAAATGAAAGCAGAGAAGACTGTCATAGTCGAGCTTTACGACTATTTGATACTCTGTACTTATCTATTTCACCTACACTAGCTGAAAATAGTGATGTCACATGTGCCAGCGAGCAAGCAAGCGAGCAAGCACTTTTCAGACATTAAATATTAGAAGTGAATGAAATGGGGTTCGGTGATTCGGTTTTTTGTATTAGTTTGGTTTAGGTTTAGGCTTTAGGTTTGTTTAGAAAGCTACTATAAAAAGTGGGCACCCACAAAAATGGAGCCAAACTTAACAAATTTTCAATTTCACAAAAAACTTTTCACCAAATAGTCTATACACCAAAACAAGTTATTGTTGGAAAAGTCAAGGTAACCTTAGATAGTTCCTTAGAAAATGTTCTGTAAAAGTTGTGCGGAAAAGTGCAGAATGAAACTAACATTCTACAAAATTCTTTGATTAGCGGTTATAAATTTTGAACCTATTTTTATTTACTAGTAGTTTTGCCTTTTTCCCTACATCTATCTTTATATTATTTCTATCTCTATACATCTACTATTATATCGTTAATATTTTTATCGTATTCTTACTTAAGTTTAAGCGTTTTCCATAGTTTTTGTCTCTTTTATTTGCGATTTGCAATCTGAATTTGAAATATTTCGCACAATCGGCTGCAGTATATATTTGGTTTGATAGTTATGTATTGATAGTTTTTAATGGTCAAAATTGGTGAATTGGTTGGTAATGAATCGTTAATCAGTTTGTACGGGCAGTACGGTACATGACCGTTGAAGATGAAGGTTTAAAACAGTATGCGAAATAATTTAGTCATACGTCCTAATCCATTTCGATGTATGATGGAATGTACTCATTGAAAGTTCGGTGTCTTCTCTCAATCGTGCCTACCGTTTGGTGGTAATAAGCTGTTGTTTTTATATAACTTAATTTCATGTATTTACACAGGTCATTTATAAGTACATTTTTGTATTCAGTACCTCTGTCATGTTATGAACGTCTTCATTGGTACTTTAGCCTTGTCTCCTGTTTTTGCGCTTATATTTGCTAATTTTATTGTAACGAAATATTTTGTTAGATCGCATTTAATATTAACTGCATACTCATTGCCATTCCTGGTAATGGTCGCCGATTATGGAGAAATACGGAGGAACCACTTAATCGCATCTTAAAAAATTAAGGATTGAGGCAACGAAGAAGATTTCCAACCTAACGCCTGCAAAACTGCGTGCCACACTAATCATTCCCAATGAGGTCACCGATCCTGTTAGCAACTGTTTCGACGCCAAAATTATTTTGTCTTTTAAAAAATAAGAAAGAACCTCTAACAGATGCTGAACTTACTCTGGCTGAGGAAATAGCTGAGGAAACCAACCAAGAGATGACCAATATTTGTCAAAAATGAAACATATTGAAAGCGTCATTGGACATACCAAAAACTACTGTCTGAGCCTGCAAGTGTGCTCAAGACCATCCCACAAAAAAAATTAGACAGCTTTGTAAAAAGAGTGTCAAGTTTTTAAAGCCAATTCAGAGAAAAGGAAACCAAAAATCAATATTCCATCCAATTTCGACGCTCAAATAATCTCAGAAAGAATCAATTAGT